TGTCACAGATCATATAGTTATACCATTTTATGAAGTGAAATAAATTGCTTGTACTGCACGTTTCTTGTGCATGACAGGAAGAACTAGAGCAAACTGTGGATTCAAAGAGTTTGTGTAGTTTTATTTGAGGCAGAGCAGTGATGATGTGTTTAAATGAAAAATAAGATCAGAGGTCGTTGTTCCACCATAAAATAATAAAGACAGAGCACTTTCTTGTGTCTCCAGTGTTTTAATTATGGTCAATACACAGTGAAAGTCTGTTTTTATAGAAATATGAAAAGCACTTTATATTTTACCTCAGGTTGTGTGAGTAATTTTGGTTATGGTGAAGTTTGTGTATGAATATTTTGCTCAACAGTTACCCTGGGGTCCTACATATAGGACATATTAGATTATATTAATTTTCATATGTATAATTTTCTGTGAGAGGAGATGCATTGATTGGTTGATTGCAGCTTCTATGTTATCAAAATGCCCAGTGCTCATGACCTGCGAGAAAACTGTGTGACAGTTAAAGTAACAGGAAAATCTATAACACTACACAATAGAAAAAAGGTTGAGAAAACCCAATATTATAGATTAAACTTAGAGCCTCATTATCAGACCACATCTGTACGTGTCAGTGAATTTACTTTAAGTGAAGTAAGATAATAAATATACCTATTTAGGAGTCTCTAAACTTTATTTCTGTAAATATAAGACACTGGAGCAGGATCTGCACAATGCATCAAGAGTAAGATATAGAGTCTTTTACACTGTGGCCCCTTCACTGTTTACATTTCTCCTCTGTCATCCACCCTTCAATCTTCTTCTCTCAGCCACAGCACTCATCATCCATGTCTTCCCTCCTGGACTGAAATCTTCTGAACAACATCGCCCTCTTCCCACAGAATGATTTCTCCTCTCTTAAAATATCCAATCTGTCTCTCTCCTCCGTGTCCCTCTCAGCGTTCACTTCTCTTCGTCTTCCTCACACCAGTACAAGGAAACCAAGGCTCAATGATTTCCCAATTTAAGGCTTAGATAAGTGAACTTGAGCTTAAACCGTAGCAGTGGCCAAGCACAGTAGTTATGAATGAGCTAAATGCCTGAAATATAAGACTCATGGAGACACAAACTGTTTTCTGGGTCTTCACTTGCTTTACGTGAAGTAACACATCATACTGGTAACTTTTCCAAACTGTCATCAAAATAAAATCAGATATTTCGACCTCTATCTTAACCCGTTTCTCCGCTCATTAAATTATACTCAGTGTTTTGGATCAATACATTGTGGTGGAAAGTTTGACACACAAATGAATCTTGGGCAGAAATTTAATTTAAAAATAAAATAACAAGAAAGTATCCAAACTTAAATTGATGAAATTGGTTATGTACATGGAGCAGAAGTGCCTTAAAAACTTGATGTCTTTTTAAATAGAGGAGCAAATTTCAAGAAGTTGTCAAAGCTAATTAGATCAGTGTCAACAGCTTTACCAACAGCGCCATCTAGTGTCTGATTATTCAAATGGCAACTCCAGTAAAGGCCAAGCCCTTTTCTTTGTCAGACCCAGTTCAACCATGTGAGCAGGGCCAAAGTGTGATGTATTACTAAGTCAGTTGGTTTTCAGCATCAGCAGATGGCAACACAACGTCAGTGAGAACAGTGTACCAGCACGTTACCGTAGTGTACAATTGGACAATGTGAAAATAATAGTATGTTATTTTTGCAACACTTGTCTTAAAGATAATGATATCAATATGATTCAGCAATTTATTATGAATTACAGTCACGACAAACTAATTCATTTCAAACTAGAATGTCCCTCAGTGGAGCATATCTTCACCATGGCCCATCAGTCCCCATATGAGACATTTAAATCTGCAGGATCTGGATTTTTGTTTGGATCCACACCAAATTACACAGACTCATAAATACCCGTCCCATAAATATGCCTGATTTTTTTCATCAGGATCCATGCACTATCCCTGATCCCTGGGAAATTGGTGAAAATGTGAAAAGCACCCACTATTAAAAATGAATACAAGAAAGTGTAAAAGAAATCCTTACCCAATTGTCTGGGTCCATGATTTGCTTAATCCTGCTGACAAACACAGGAACAAACACACAGACAGGGGCAAAAACGTTTTTTAGTTTGTCGATCCTTACGACCCAAAGCTGCACACGAGAAATAATAAAAATGTGTAAAAGTAGTTTAAGTTAAAGTAATTGGCCAAACTAATAGCCACATTAATGTCTGGGATTGATGTTGTTTTGGACCGACAACCTCACAAGTCAGTACCTCAGAGGATACACTCGTTTCAACAAAGAAAAACAAACATTAAGGCTGATGGCTGCGTTCTTTACCACAGGGGCATGTTCACACCTTGTAATAATGTTGATTGCACATTAAACCACAGGTGAATTCCAATCAAAGCTGTGAATAAACACAATTTAACATCAACACATGATGCAACCGCTATCTCCTCTGCAGATGCGAGCCACGACCACAGACAGCTCCGAAAAACAACAATGTACTTTTTAGCTATTACTTATGTTTCTTTTTTATCCATTTCAAAAAATGTTGTATTTTTGTCCTTGATTTTGAATTCAAATGCTATTGTTGAGGAACAACTGTTTTGAAAGGTGCTATATAAATAAAGTTACCATTAATATTATTTCTCCTGCTGGTGAAAAAAAAGTCAAATCAAAATCAAAATGGGACAAAGGCAAAGACAGATTTGACAGAAAGACAAAAAAAGACATCAATTAATCAACTCTGTGACAAGTAGAGGATGTGTCACTATGACCAGATGTGCACTAAGGTACAAACGATAAAAGCTGATAAAAAATATATATACATACATACATACATACATACATACATACATACAGATGATGTGAGACCGTTGTGACACTGACAGGAGTACGTAAGTATTTTAATATTCCAACTCAATCAAATCAACTCATTGTCCTCTGCTGAAAAGACACAAAGCTGAAGCCAACATACTCAAATATAGGCTGATGTGACGCATGTAAGTAGAACCATATACAGGTCCCAGTTCGTTAGGGGCCAGAAATTGTCTATATGTCTCAAACTCAATAAAAGCCACCAAAGCTGAAGTCCACATCTGAACCAAACTGTGTCGAGACAGATAAACGTCCTGGTTACTAATTAGATGGCAACTGGAATGAATTTATACCACACTTTTCTGGTTGTGTAAACCACTCAAAGCACTACAGAGTACAAGCTACGTCCAACAATTCATCTTCATTCCTCCACTGTTACTCTATGCTGAGCTTTTCCTTTCACAGACACCACTCACACACACAAGGAAACTTGTAGATTGGACAAACTGGTAATCGAACCAGTGACCTTCTGGTTAGTGGACAACCTTTTGAGCCACAACTGCAAAAGCTTGGAAATGATTACATATGAACACAGACCAAGAGTCTGCAGCCACACTTCAGAGTTCTCTGTTGTGTGCAGTTGTGACCGGGCAGGTTCTCTGCATCGTCTCCTGACCCAGACAACAACACATACACATACAACCACTGCCTTGCTGACTGCTCATGCCTTCTCTTTGTCCCTGACCTGTCGGGTCGTCTCGAAGCCTGAGACCTTTCCTAAAGCATCTGTAACACCTACGTATATGCGCAGTAAACTCACCAACTGCTCAGGACAAAATGTCTCCCTGTGTCCACTGTGGCCATTGCAGCTGCCTTATTTGAGACACAAGGGAGAGAAAGTCAAGAGTAATGAAATCCCGTCCTGCCTGTTACATTGGGACACCTGGACCTTTTTTAGGTGAAACATCTCGTGTTGGTACAGAGCAACCAACCAGAAGTACACAACTTTTCCAGGCTGGCCCTGAATGTTGACTGATACAATGTGACAACATACACAGATTGGATAATTTGGCATTATCTGAATCGGCCTTGTTACCTCTGTTAAGGACGTGTACGCTATCCTACTTGATGGATTTCCATGGAACTTGGCAGTATGGGTCATGGAAGAACCGATTAAATTTTGGTGTGGATCTAAATCATTGCGATATCGTTTGATTGATTGTGAGATCGGGAATTTTTCAACATTAATGTGGTAAACTGCTATTGCTACCTAAATAAAATAATCAAATATTTGGTTTATAAAATGAATACATGAATGAAAATTATGAAAAATAACCATTTCTAAGAACAAAAGTTGAGATGATCAAATTGGTAGTTTTGTCTGACCAGCAGAATCCAAATGTTTGAGGTACATTAATTTAAAATACAAAAAAATTGCAATGCAAATTATATTTTACAGGCTGGAACCAGAAAATATTTGGTGATTCAACTTAAAATCTGTATTTATTAAATCAAATAATATCAAATCCACAGATTTGCAGAGTTGCATTGTTGATGTTATTGAGATTAATGGAGGTATTTTCTGCAGCTGAACTGAACTCCTAGCTTTGCTTTATCCGTTCTCTCGTGGGTACGAACGTCAACGATTCATCAAGATTGTTTACAAAGAACTGTTAAATAAAAACTTGCATGGATCTTAAAACAAAAATTTTAAGAAAAACACTGCAGGTTGCATCAAGAGACCGGGTGGTCAGAGGGGAGCAGGAATAGGAAGGAGGGAGGGAGGGCGGAAAAAAACAGGAGATGAAGAAGAGGATAGATGAGGAGGAATGTAAGAAACAAATAAGCTGTCAGTGGAGGGAGGAGAGATAAGCAGGAGGGGGGAAGGAAAGTTGACAGATTTGAGTGAGCAGAGGCAGAAAAAGAAGAGTGAAGCAGAAAGTGATGAAGAGGATGAAAGGGGAGGTGAGGAGGAGCAGGGAGTGTTGTCACAGATAAATGCGCTGCACTAGGGTGCTCGAGCTCAGCAGCTTCAGGTCACCACCTCTCCCCAGCGCTGGATGATGGACGGTCTGGAGGCTGCAGAGCTCTGCTACCCTCAGCTCCTCAACTCGTCCTGCAGGGGTTTGCCTCGTCCTCCCACGGAGGCCCTCCTCCTCTACGCTCTGCTCTCCTTCATCACCGTGCTCACAGTAACCCTCAACCTGCTGGTCGTCATCTCCATCTCTCACTTCCGCCAGCTCCACACCCCCACCAACCTGCTCCTGCTCTCCCTGGCCATCTCAGACCTCCTCGTCGGGCTCCTGGTGATGCCGGTGGAGATGGTGAGATTCATAGAAAGCTGCTGGCTGCTGGGCGACGTCATGTGCGCCCTGTCCTACATCATAGGCTTCACTCTCACATCGGCCTCAGTGGGGAACATGGTGCTCATATCCATCGACCGTTACGTGGCCATTTGTTACCCTCTGCACTACCCCAACAAAATCACTCGCAGCAGGATCGAGGTGTGTGTGTGTCTGTGCTGGGCCTGCTCTCTCCTCTACAGCGGGCTGATCCTGAAGGACCATCTCAGGCAGCCGGACAGACACACGTCCTGCTACGGGGAGTGTGTGGTGGTGATCGACTTTGTCTCCGGTGCGGTAGACCTGGTGTTCACTTTCATCGGCCCCTGCTCGAGCATTGTCGTGCTGTACATGAGAGTGTTTGTTGTGGCGGTGTCTCAGGCTCGTGTTCTGCGGTCTCACATTACAGCTGTTGCAGGCGGTTCAGTGACGGTCACTGCAAAGAGGTCAGAGAGGAAAGCAGCCAGGACTCTGGGTGTGGTCATACTGGTGTTTTTGATGACCTTCTGTCCGTACTATTACCCGTCTCTTGCGGGACAGGACACCTCAAACAGTGCAATAGCTTGGCCCATCGTGTCCTGGCTCTTGTATTTTAATTCCTGTTTGAATCCACTCATTTATGCCTTTTTCTATCCGTGGTTTAGAAAATCAATCAAGATAATTGTCACCCTAAAGATATTGAAACAGCAATCCTCCCATGCAAGTGTACTTTAAAGTCACTGCCCGAGTCAACATGTTTCATTTGAGCTGTACAAAAAATAAACTGATGTTGGTTGGATGTAGATTTGTTGTTTGCTTTGCATTGATATAAATTGTTCTTTCATTTATGGTACTTTCTTTTGAGTGTCTCAGTGTAAGAATAAGAACTACATTGTTACTGTATTCCAGAAAAAGAATCAGCAGCCACAAGTTTACATCTTACATACATTTATCAAATAACAATGCCAAACGTTTGGTGATTCAGGTTTCTCTATAGGGGAGAAGTTGCTTTTTTTCTTCTTCTTACATCATAGTAAAGTGAATATATCTGTGTTTTGAGCCGTCAGATTAAATTATAATAATTGTTTTTGTTGGTTTCTGACATTTTATGAACAAAACTTGAGATTTGAATGAAAACAGTCATTGTATTGTTGAGAAATAGCATAAAGTGCATTATAGCCAACAGTTAAGTGTATCAGTCGATGTTGATGATTATCACAATAAATGTCATATTATTTATATAAAGTTAAAAAACTGAATTTGGTCCTGAGTGAAGGTTGTCGTTTTAAATTCTTCTTTATGAGCTGATGAAATGATTTTACAAATCTGATGTATAACATTTAAGTGTGTATATGTTTGTGAGTATATGTAATACAGCCACTATTTCCTTTGCATAATATTTAAAACACTCACAATAATCATTATCTTCAGTGGCAAATAGTTATTTTTTCTTAGTGGTTGAGTTGTATAAAAATTAGATCTCAGTTTAAAACATGCCTCACCTCACATTGGTGTGAGGTGTTCAGGGCAAAGAACATGTTACATGTCAAGGTAACAAGTGAATCATCATAATTCAACAGCAATAAAAACTAATGTCAAAACAATTTTTAGCTTTCAAAATCAAGTTTAACAGCAGATTTTCTGTTGCATCTCCTCTTTTTATAATAAGACCAGATTTTTTGTCTGATCAAGGGTCTAGTAAGAAGATGAAATAACATTTAGGTGAGATCAAATTTACAAAAGTACAGGAAACTAACAGCTGTGTGTGAATATATAATAAAGATATTTTAAAGAAACACTTTGTTACTTATTTTTGTTAAAAAAAGGAAAAACCTCTATGTTATCAGTCTGGTTTATTAGAAACTTATTATAAAAATAAATAAAATTTAACAAACAAAAATCCCATTAGATGTTTGAGTCCTTATCTCTTGGACTGAGACCTGGGTCGTCTGATTTCTGTAAATAACAGAAAAAATTGTGAATTTAAATTATATCTTTCTTCAAATTCAAATAAATGAAAATGTGAAATCTCCTGGAACATGTAACAACATTCACAAATAAATGTAAATTAAATTACCAGGGATTTCATGAGGCCAGAAGTCATCACAAGCTGGACACCGCGGCTCGGCTCTTCCTTTAAAGTATCTGGCCACACACGGGGTGTGGATCTTTATGCCACATACAGGATTTTCACAAATTTGGCTCTGAAAAATAAACAAATCAGATTATATTAATACAGTGAGAAAACCCATGACGAATAAGATGAGCTTTTACAAATGGAAGTAAAAAAAAACAAATCTATTATAAATGATAACATTTTACTTTCTTTTTAATAATTCTTGGATATTTCTGTTTATGTAGTTACTGCTACTCTTTATTAAGGTTAACCTCTAAAGTAATTCCCTTCTTTACAATATAATCATAATTATGTTTACCCTTCAGATGCTTATCTTCAAATCAATAACTTCAAATCATACAATAACTAAATTCAATGTTTAGTTAATACAAACATGTATATAAAGTAAAATCAGGCTTGATATGAATAAGTCTTTCTGTTTCTTGAAATGTGTACGGAGTTAGAGTTATCCATTTATCATCACAACCAAAAATAGGTTATTAATGTCACTTCCTAATATTCCAAGAATATCAATTGTGAATATAATCATGTAACTATAGTAGAAAAAATAGTAGAGGAAAAGACTTTCTCAGCAATTAGGAATAGCTAAATAACAAGCATACTTCTCAACTTGATTCAGGTCACATAGGGTGATAAAGTTGATACACAACAGAGAAACAGAGGAGAACTTTACCTGGAGAGCGATGTTGTGACAGATATGACACACTTTGACCTGGTCTAGGTACATTGTGCGGATGTATGGCTCCATCTCTATGATGCATCTGGTGGACAACGTGTACTCACCCCGTTTCTAAATTAATAAACAGTAATTGAAAGAAGTTAAATAAACCAACATCAAGTTGGAGCGAAAACGGTTAGGTCATACAGACTGGTTACATTTGATCGGATAAATGGAGGATTTATTAGTAGATAAAATTAATTTAGAACACAAATGTATTATGGTTGTTTGTGTTGACCCATTTCATATTTTGGATAGGAACTCAGTTTTATCCTCCAATAACTAGACTTTCCCTGAACTGTAACTACTGTTGCATATGAATGAAATTTCACCTTAAATTGTAAACGAACAAAATGTCTATAGTTCTTCTCTACTATGATCAACTACTCAGAGTGCTTTACATTACAGGCTACTTTCACCTATTGTTCTATCACACACACACCATTCACAGAGGCAAATTCAGTATCCTGCCCGAGGACTGGAGGAGACAGGGATCGAACCACCAACCTTTACAGAGCTAATATGGTTAACATAGCTAGCTGAATACCAATGTTTATGTTCATCTTAGAGAGACTGGATAACTAAAAGATAGCTCGAATAAGATAAACTTGATTTACAATTACAAATGTGGCTGATTTGAAACACCATGAAAAAAAAAACCTTGTGAACCATAACACGCTGTCCACACAAAAAGTGTGAAAGGTTTGTAGAGAATGTAACAGAGAGAATATGACATTCAGTGTTGTACCTCATTGAGCCATCGGTCATGCACCAGTCGGTTCAACAGGTGCTCTGTCTCGCTCTTCTTCAGCTTCTTGGTGGACAGGCTGTCTGAACTGTTCAGGATGTCGGTGGAGGAGGCCTTGCCATCCTCAGAGCCCACGATCAGGTCCATCTGAGTCAGAACAGCTCAGGTGATAAATGACACACTCTCGTGGAGTAAACTGGTTTTAAAGCAGCTCAAAGCTGATCACGTATGTTTTAGAACTAACAACGCGACAGAAAATAGCTACATTTTTGCTCTCAACAGATGAATTTCTGGTAACGTCAGCTGCCACCAAGCCTCATTCTTCCTTTTCCTTAATGCATTGAGGACTGATAACTTGTGCAATGTGTCATCCGATTTCAATACAAAGGATTTAAATCATTATGGAACTGTGGCACTGGATTACATAACAGTGTGCAATGGTTTCCATCCTTTCAGGTGTGACAGTCTGCCTTGGGAATTTCCTTTGGTGAACTCACCGTTTTCCTGAACAGCTCCAGCTCATTGTCGGCATAATCTGATGACATCCTGGTGACGTCAGTGTCAGCCATGTTCACCTGGACCGGATTAGAGTAAAACTGTGGTTAATAACACCTCAGGTAGCTCAGCTTAGTGCACACGCAGTAAAATACATTTATTTTGTGATCCACTGTATTTACACTTTACATCCCTGAGGCTGGACACTGTGACACACATGTTCTTGTCCTGTGATGGTCACTGTATTTTCAAAACAATCCAAAATTCTTAAAACATTAATTAATTAATTAATTAATAAGCAGGTCCTCAAATAAAAGCCCAGTACAGGAATTAAATGAGACAAACCAGGGCATAGTATTGTTGGCCATTGTCTTCAGACATCCCTTTTCTAATCTGCATGAACATGGGCTGCAGCTTTGAGTTGATGGTATCGATGAAACTGTCCAGTTTGTCAGCAACGTACTGAGCTGCAAAAAAATAAAAAGGTCTTAAAACCACAAAACAAAACAACCTCAAAACAGTTACGCAAACAAAGTAACTTCATTTTAAAGAAAATGTAAATGTTGCTTCTCATTTAACAAATTACAGTAATAAATAAAATACACAGGAAACCTCCTGGATCCACTGCCCTCGACTTTTCTCCACATGGTTTAAGATTCTTTAGTAAGGACGTTTTAATTTCTGGCAGATTCTAGATTTATATATTTACATAGATTTAGATCAAACTGAAGGCAAATTATTGGCCAGCAATGTGTTCATGAAAATGCAGATAAATCATTTTACATAAGAGGCAAAGGAAACAGTCTATTTATCTATTCTTTTCATTCAGGAAACTGTACAGACCTTGATCTGCTCCTTAAACACAGGAGCACTTTGAAATATTCTCGATTAAAGATACATCTCTCAATAACTCACTGTTGTGTGTCTCACAGCAATGCTTGTGAAGTGTCTGTGCTCCTTGTTCATCCACAATTCCATTGGCCATCATGGATTGTAGAAACCTTCGGTGGCTGTCTCCCATCTGTTGTGACATGTCTCTGGACTGAAGTGGAGAGAGTAATGGTGGTTACACAGCCTTAAATTCTCAATATATAGGGTATTTACTGTAAAAGTAAAACCAGCTCAGTGAACCAAACAGTCACATGGTTTCACAAAGAGGCTTCACACAAACACATTTGAAGGCAAAATAGGAAAAGCACGTTGAAGGTACAAGCTCAACATTTACTGTTTCCTGCTTCTGCATAGTGTGACAATTTTGTACTTTTCTTTATTTTGTACTTTTCTTTATATACTGTATACTGTTGAGTAATTTATTGCTTGTTGCCACTTTTCCAAAGAGAAGTTTTCTTCTTTAGATTTCATGTCTTGTCCTACAACCAGCAGTCCAAACCATAAGATATTCAACTATTGTACAGTTTATGAAGGAACATAAACCTGATCATGTTTCCCAGCTTGGCTTATAAAATTACTAAAACAATTTAGCTGTGCAGATTCATTTTCTAAGATATATGAAGAACTATGACCGGGAGGAACTCCAATAACAGAAATGACATTTCTCTGATATGTTGCTGAATTACCTGTTGTGTTAAAATGTCAATCATTGCAATAATCGAGTCTCACGAATGAAAACAATCACAGAACTGAAATGAACAGAAAAGATGGACTGACCCAGAGAGAAGTGTTGAACTGTGTAGCTTCTCTGGAACCGTTTTAAAGCAAACTGAACAACCCTCACATTTAAATGAAGACTGCTCCACCACTCTGCGTTAGTTTCAGGGTTAGCGGGGCTATTGCACTGACAACAGACCAGCTCCACGGGCTGACTCAAGTAAAGAGAGACACGATGACAAGTGTTTTTAAACCCATGAACCACGCGACCAGGTTCCATGAGGCTTCATTCACCTCAGGCTCCAACAACCTGCAGTTAGCTAACAGTTAGCAAACAGTTAGCAAACAGTTAGCTAACCTGCATCACAGAATGGACCACGCCACTAAACAACTGCTCAGTTTAAATTACGGTGATTTGCATGTTCAACATTTGACTGAACTAATTAAATGGTTTTTATTCGTGAGCAAGTTTACCATCAACAGAGAGCGTCTTCCTGTTGGTGTCCCGCCTCCCACTTCTTCTCCTCTTAGCAGAGTTCACATCGAACGAGCGGTGAATTACCGCCACCTGGTGTTGTGGAGGTATATGAACATTTGTAGCACACTAGGGTATGTAATCGTGTGAATAGTACATATATATAATCATGCGTAGGGTATATCA